TGCAGCCATAGACAATATGTAAACTGAAGGGTTTGGCTGTGTGCCTGTAAAATTGTTAACAAAGACAGGCTGTGCTTTGGATTAGCCAGCAGGTCATACATCATGCACCTCTCATCTGTTAGATACATAGAAAAATTCAGCCCGTAAGGACCTGAGGTGAGTCAGGTACGGCATTCTGCACAACACTCAGAAGGGCGATGTCGCCTTGATGGGGGGGTGTGGGGACCAGGCAGGCTCCTGTGATGGTGATGTGTACATTAAAACTTAGAGAGTGTGTGGAAGAGCCAGGTAAAAGGCAGGGGGAAAGGAGGAGAACAGTGAAGGTGTAGCTGTGAGCAGAGAACATATTCTGGGGAAAGCAAAAACTACAGATTGGTCTGGCTACAAGGTAGGGGGAGGAGTGCCAAAAAAGTCATCTCTGTCTGTAAGGGATCGACATGATTTCCATTTTACCTTGGAAGAAGCTGACCATTATTGGCTGAGACAGAGCTTAAAGCTCTCCTACATTAAAATAATGCATGAACAGTTTTACAGCTCAAATAATTTAGTCCCCAAATTTTACATTTAAGAAATAGACTGAAGAAAAGGAAATACAGTGGCGTGACGACCTTAGTTTATAGAAACTGGCCTGGAAGTACGCTGTGGTTCTTCAGGAGCTTAAGAAATGCAGGGAGAGGAGTGTCAGGTACCGATGGCTCCCTCAGTGTGCTGTCTGCGGGATGAGATGTCTGTCCTCGCCACAAAGAGAGGCTAAAGGAACAATGTGGCAGAGCTTGCTACTATTGCTTTGTTGACTTGAAGGTTCTCTAGTCTCTCCTGATGTGGCGGATGGAGTTTGTCATCAAAGAACTTCGAGGCTTGAGAGAGCTCTTCCGTGTGGTAACTACAGCTTGAACCTTCTCACTGGTGGCTTAGAGAGTTTATAGGAAGCAGGACTCTTGGGAGAAGAGCGCTGGCTGTAAGAGTCAGGACTTCCTGCTGTGATGCGTTACCAAGGTGACTTGAAACCTCTGTTTGGTTTTCTCATCTGTAAAGTGGAAATCTTAGTGTCAGCTTTGCAGGACCCTCAGAAGTGTCCAGTCCACATCAGTAGCACTGAGGCCAGGCACAGAGGAGATCACCCTGAAGCCTTTCACAGCATTTAGTGCTTCGTTGCTTGCTTGCCTGTTCTAACCCTGTGGTAGCTCAGAAGAGGAGTGAAAAGGGGTTGGAACCTGACTGATTCCACCCCTGGAGAAATAGCACAGGGCATTTGCTCTTCAAAGGGAATCAGAAGTGTTATTTTTATGCAGGATGTTACTTTGCTTTATGCAGACTGTACTCTGCTTTAAAAACAGCAAAAGAAATACTCTGCTCTGTGCTTTAACACCCTACACACACACATGCCAGTGGAAGCCAGCGTATATACCAGGTGCCCCTTGCCACATTCTCAACAAAACCACCAGGCTCCTGTAAGAGTGCAGTTTAAGTCCGTGTCAAGTCAGTGCCCACAGACAGCTATCTGTGCTTTAAGTCTGTTACGTACAACAAATCTTCTGGAGGGGCCGCCTCACCAGCCTAACCTCTCTTTGGTGCCACTCATTGTCTTAGTGTAATTCTGCAGCAGTTCGCTCCCCAGTCCAACCTCTGGGCTCACTTCAGAGAGACACAGACGGGAGAGACTGGTATGTCGGGAAGTGCTCTGAGCTGCTCCTCGGTCCCCTCACTCCCCAGCCCTGCAGATGTCCCTGTTCATCCTTCCATCCTGAAGCCGGGTCTTCGCAGCCTTTCAACAGAAAAGTCCGAAGTCCACATTTTTAAAATAAGGTTGCTGTTCTTTTATGCTACTTAAGTACCTCTGCAGAGGATTCCCTTTGAGGGATCTGAATGGAAAGAGAAAGGCAGGGACACCTCTGTGTTCCTTTTATTTACATATAATCCCCCAACTTACAGTGGTTCAATTAAATAATTTCCTTCAGCCTTAAGATGGTACAAGTTTTTCACTTTCAGTACATTATTCAATAAGTTTTATGAGCTATTCAGCACTTTATTTTAAAATAAGATTTGTGTTAGGTGATTTTACCAAAGGCTACCGTAAGAATTCTTACAGTGGTTAAGGTGGGCTGGCCAACTATGATGTGCACTGGACTAGGTGTATTTTTGGCTTAAAGGAGTTTATCAACATGCGACCCAGCATAAGCTGAGGAGCGTCTGTGCTCCTCCTGGACAGCGGGAGAGGGGGAAAGGAAGGAACATCTTATACCTCTGCTCCTCCTCTAGAAGAACAGAGACCAGGAAGATGAGTACTCGGTGGGACAACACGGGCCTTGGAGAGGGTGACCATAACCTGAGAAGTGTCCAGACGCCTTGCTGGCAACAGGCCCTTCCCATTCCTGCCCCAGTCTTTTGTCTCATGACAGCTGGCTGCAGAAGCAGTGAGACCAGGCCAGTCCCTGACTGGAGGACCCAGGTATTCTCTGTGCCATCAACTGTGCTCAACAGGGATTGGGCTCTGTGGAAATATTACTACTAGAATTTAGGCACATTGTAGACTAAACATAAGTAAACACTGAGTTTGAGAAGCAAAATGTGTTTTCCATTGCTTTCTGGAAATACTTCATTTTAAAATTTCTGTTCATGTTCCTTTCCCAGTGTCTGATTGGTCTCTTAATGTTTTGTTGAGTTTGTGTGTCATAGAAAGCCCTTTGTAATTTGATGCAGATACTTTCATAGTTTGTTATTTATCCTTTCATTTTGGGTTTTTGGACACATGGTCTTTTCCTTTGTGATTTATTTTTTATATTTCCTCTTTTTTACTCAGAAAATTCTCTATCCACTTGGCTGGAAAAATACTAAATATTCATCATGATTGGGAGGAATGTTTGGGGTTTTTTTTATAACTATTTAATTGATTTTCAGTTGATTGTAACCTACAGTATGAAGACTTGTTTTCACTAAATGATACCTATACTTAGTAGCCATTTATAATTTCCTACCAACCTAAATATTGACTTGGGTACCACAAAACCCATAACAGTGAGGGACACATGTCTCTGCCCCTATGCAACCAACCTTAGCAAAGATATGACAGCTCCGGGTGATTTCTCAAGCCTGTGGCAGGTAGTGGCAGGAAACGATGGACACTCACTGTGCCACAAAGAAGAGTCACCATCTGTCCCAACCTGATTCAATGTTCCTGGCTCACAGCTCAGATAAAACTTCCACCCTTTCTCATGTTGATATTTGGCCACTAAATTGACAAGCAGCATATCCTGATAAGCCACTAATAAGATCATCCTATTTTGATACACAGTAACTGCATGATATCTTGCTTTAAACTGTGCTTAGAAGAATTAGTTGTCTTGCGTTGACAGGTGGCTATTTCTTAAGGCTTGGGGTCCAAATCTGAGATCCTCAGCATTTAACACAAGTTAGGAACAGCTTGGGACAGGAGGATGGTGAGAGCATGCAGGGCCCCCTGACATTGTGAGACAGTGCTAAAAGGATTGAGATGCCAGGCGTGCCTGTGAAGAGCTCCAGAAGCCCAGAATGCCTGTGTTTGTGCTGCTTTGTGCAGAGTCTGGCACTGAAGCAGCCTCAGGAGGGCCCTGTGGAAGGAGGCAGGCTGGTAGACAGCTGGACTTGATGTCGATCTCACTGAAACCCTCCTGAAAGCAGTGCCATTCAGCCTTAAATAAAAAGGAATTCCTGCCACTTGTCACACTGTGCATGAACCTAGTGGATGTTATCTGATCTAAAAGAAGGCAGGTAAAGAGAAATATTACCTCATCTTCATATGGTGAACCTAAAATGGCTGGTATCTTAGAAGATGAGAGTAGAAAGGAGGATCTAGGGGCTGTGGAGCAGGGGTTGAGGTGTAAAAGGATACAGAGTTTAGTTAGAAAGAACAGGCTCCGAAGATCCCTTGTATAAAGTGATAGTTATGGTCAGTGTATGCTGGGCCAAGGGTATAGCTCAGCGATAGAGCACTTGCCTAGCATGCTCAAGGCCTGGGTTCAGTATCCCTCAGCACTGCAAGAAGAAAAAAAATGTATGTAAGGTAATATATTCATTTAGCTATTCCACCATATATATTTATATTAAAGCATCATTTACCATAAATACGTACAATTTGTATTTGTCAATTTGAAAAGAAAACAGTGACCACTGAGCTAGAGAGAGCACATCATCATCAAGTAGCTAGGAGGGAACATAAACGATGGGGCCTTTTCCTGGCCAAGGAAGTACACCTTGGAAGGAGATTTCATTGTGTGATGCAGACAAGGGCCAAGTAACAAATATGTCAATTACTTCATCATGTTATTTCTGTGGACAGCTTTGTGGAGCATGAAAGGCGCTACACACTAGAAGTGACTCACACTGATTATTTCTGAGTAGTATATGCTCAGTATTTCCCAAGAGCAAAAGAGCCCAACATGAGAAAGTAGTAAGACATTGGTGTCTTTGACAGTTTTTTAAAAGAGGCTTGAAACAGGCTGTCAAAGCTGTGGTTAAAGTGATTTATGTTTAAGCCGTTCCTAAACTGTGAAGAAAGGGTATCAGCCCCCAACATGCCCGCAGTCCAGAGACCACAGGACATAAATTATATCAAGGGTTTATGGTCAATGGATGGTGTGTGGTCTTCAGAAATGATTGAGTTCCTTTCATGAGAAGCTATCTGCAATGTTTTGGTTTTCTGTTGGCAGTGTTATAGGACTAGAAGATACTATATACGTGGTATATGGTTTCAAGTGACCTGTGTAGGATTGTGATTTAGTGTAAATATTTCTTAAATATTTAATTTATTGCACATTTCAGGAAGTCAGGGAATTTCTTGGAACCACCATCACATATGCAGAAACAGAGAAGTCTATGCAGGGGGTTGACCACAAGGGAAAGAGGATCTCCCCAAGTGATCAATCAGGCACCCAGAAGCACACAGTTTAGTTCTGTTGATGATGTAGGAGGGTCACACAAGCAGAGTGACCATTTAAAAACTGATGTTTTCTTCTTCTTTTTAGGAAAAACTATGTCTACCCCATCACATCCTTGAAGAAAAAGGCCTGGTCAAAGTGGGTATTACCGTCCAAGCATTACTTGATGTCACTGTCACAAAGACTCTGTTCACATGAGAACGAGACTCCTCTGGTCAGCTCAGACTCTTCTCCCATCAGGGATGCTGGACTCTGCTCCTGGGACCTGTTCCACCTTCTCCCCCACTGGTTGCCTGTCAGTTCCCCCGTTCTATTGCATGGCTGAGGTTTCCAGTCTGAGGGAGGACCTTCTACCTTTCAGAGCTGACCTCCAGCTTAAAGGCGTGACAGGTATTTCCCTGGGAGCCAGTGAGGAGCTGGTGGAGAGCTAAGCAGCACATCATTGCCTTTTCAACCTCCATCATCCCTTCCACGCTCACCGACTGCCATTAGCAAAATGCCAAGCACAACTGTTTTGCAGCAAGATGCATCTGTTTATTAGAACCAAACTCATTGTGGATTTAGTGGGGGAGGGGGTACAATCAGGTTTTTCACCACCAAATTTTTCAAGAAGTTTCTTGAGACCATTGCCTTTTAAAAACTATTTTCGACATACAAAATATTTATATAAATATTATTTATTAGTGAGTTGTTATTCATCCTTTGGATGCAAATTGTAAATTAGGAAACTATTTTATTACTGCTTTTTTGTGGTTAAACACTTTATTTTATTATAAATATTGAGTTATTTTCTATCCTCTTTGCTGTGCAGTAGTTCTGGGTCTCAGTAATCATGTTTCCTGGTGTATATGATTCAGAAAAAAAAAAAAAGAACAGGTGCTTCTGTGACAAAGAACTGCTTTCTGGGGCGGCATTATTCACACTTTGGTTGGTGGAACATCGGTCTTATTTATATTTCTGCATTCCATCCAGTGTCCTACATTCCAGCAGCCCTGTTGGCCTCCAGTGTAATGAACTGACTTGAAGTCAAGAAAGCACCCCAAAGTTATTTGTACATAGAGGTGATGGGAAAAAAGAAATTAAACTTGAAGATAAAATGTGAACAGTTATTTTTTGGATTCATACTTCTTTTGCTATGCACAAAACATTCATATTTTAACACAAAGAAGTAATAAGTGTTAGCATTGTGTGTCTTGAAGTATAATTTTGCACTGTAACTTGGATAACTAAAGAGAATCTAGCACCAAAGGTAGATAATGAGAAAATGGTATAGGAAAGTGGAGATGATTAAAAGCTTATTTTCAAACCAAAAATATTTTTAAAGGAAGCTTCAACTGAGTGATCAAAAATTATTTCATGCACATAGGACCTGGAGGAGGAAATCAGCGCTTCTTACAACTGCCAGTTTTAAAAAGAAGAAATGATTCTGGGATGTAGGTGCACTTGTTCTATTATAAGTCAGTTGAGTTTTCAGAGTACTTGGTAAAATCCTGCAAGGCTCCCAGTCTCGTTGTGAAACCTCAGAGCGAGTGGGTCATCAGCTGGGGGCAGCTCCGTGCACCAGCGGGCCATGCAGGTTCAGTAAGTGGAAGGGATGAGGCTGAGCAGGGAGGCAAGTGACAGACAGAAGGCAGGGACAGAGAGGAGCCAGGGAGGAAAGGAGCCTTCTTCCATAGTCAGAGTCACAGAAAGTGTCACATCACAGGACAGCCTCTGTCAGGCAGGTTCACATGTGTGTACTCACGTTGCAATTATGCTGAGCCCAAAATTAGTCTTCAAAGTCCTGCGAATGTTGACCGCACTTTCATCTCTGAAAAGCCATTACAAGTTTCTAGAACAGCAGTAGGCACAATTTGCAAATGTAAAAGTGAGTCTGGAAGACATCAGGAGAACTTGCGTAGATGACAGACCTTCGTCAAGGGGCGCCAGGACTGCCTCGGCTTAGGAAGACGGGGGCTCCAGAGTGTGGACATTTAGATTGGCAGCTAACATTTATTTCCTATCAAATGTACTGTGCACTTTAGCCTAACTTAAAAATATATTATAATATTTCCTGTACTGCACAAATACCTGTGTTGTCAAATAACATAATGATGCAAAGGTGAAAGGCTTTTTGGACAAAGAGCATACACAATTTAAACAACATCCAAAGGTTGATTATGTAAACAGGAATTTAGGCTGCTGCACCTCCACGGGATTCCGAGTGCAGTGTCCTGAAATATTTTTTTACATGTATATGTGGCAACATGAAGCTCTGTAATCATTGTGTTCAGAGATTCTTTTTCCAAAATTGAAATATTTCTTTTGATACTAATTTTCAGTATTTTCTGGAAGTTGGCTGTATAAAACAAATAGCTTCAGTATTTTGTAAAATGGCTTTTTTTCTTTTAAATGCAATTCTTGTATGGCTAATATGTCTTCAAGATCCTTGTACACTGTGTATATGTGCAATAAAATGTGCATGGCCAGCTGACAGTACCATAAAAAGAGTGTGTACAGTGCAGAATCTGACCTTTTATTATTTAATAGCCATTAAAACTTTGACTTTGTATAAACCAGCTTCTGATTGACTTACCCATGTGGTATGAAGGTAGATGCTTCACACCCAGGCACACACACACACACACACACACACACACACACCACCACCACCACCACCACCACCACCATAAGGAGTCGTTGAAACATTATAGTGATTGTTTTGTGAATATGTATATGTTATAAATAATTTGTGTATCTATGTATATAAAACCTGTACAGAGAATATGTGTAACTATCAGAATTAATGCAAATATATAGTACAGTAGCTCCCCTTTTCCAAGGGCTCATTTTTCATTATTTCAGTTACTCATCCAAAAACATTAATATTTGTCGTCATTCTTTGGAGAGAGAGACCATATTCACATAACTGTCATCATAGTATATTGATGGCATTGTTCTATTTTATTGTTTATTGTCAGTCTCTTCTTGTACCTAATTTATAAATAAAACTTCTCATACATGTGTGTATATATATATATATAGGAAAAACTATATACAGAGTTCTGGATAAGGGAGGATCTTGTGTGTGTGTGTGTAGATGAAATATTTATCACATATTATTTCAGGTTAATTTTTTTTTCCAAAACTAAAACTTACTGGAAGCCACTGAACATACAGTAGAAGTAAACTCACCGTCATGAGACTGAGGTGGGAACTAGTATCATGGACTGATCAAGCCTGCACCCTCCCGAATGAGTGGACAGCAAAGGTTTAAATAAATGAGACAAGTGGTATGATTTTAGGACTCCAAGGATCAAAACTCTAGCAGAATTCAAGGTTTTGGGGGCTAAGACAAAAACCTTCTCTAGGTGGCCCATATTTATTTGGTTTTCAAACAAAGGGAAGTAATACTAAGAAAAATCATGGAAACTGAGCAGGGACTTGGGAGTCAGTTCAAAGACTTCCCTAAATAGTAAATTATGCTAATTGAGGACAACTATCCTATCTCCAGTTTGACATTTATGGCAGTATTGAGACAGCAGGAATGAGAAACCTGCAGTCCCTGTCTACCTGGTTAATTGGGGTTGGAGCCAGGTGTCCTCAGCTGTGGGTTTATCTTCTCTTATGAGGCCTCACAGGCCTCTATAGGCCTCATCAAGGACCAGTGATTCATAAAGATCCACTTACTGTGAATCCACTGCTCATCTCCAGACAAGTTTTAGGCCTGGAGTAGACTCACAAGTAAACATAGAAAAGCCAATTATTTAATTTTAAATCACACTCAGTCACTTCGTAATGGTCTCCATCAGATGGCGGTGTGAATTCAGAGCTCATATTTGCTGAGGATGCCTGAGTTCCTTGATCCAAAGTATAAAAACCAAAGGATTAGATCCTCCCTGCCTCCTGTGGTCAAATGGCTGCCAAGATAATAGGTTGGCTAGATCTGGGGTGGTGATGTTTCTGCTACATAACCACTGACCTTTGCTACGAGAGCAGTTGTGAGAAGTTAGTGGTTAACACATGGCCTCCATCAATTGCTCATCCCACGTAAAACAGACATAGGACCACCAGCCCATGTGACATTAGGTACAGTGTCTGATCCTCTGCATTTAAGATCTATCTCTACCAAATCTATCCATGGGCCCTGATGATCTGATTTGAGATACTTCTCTGCCAAACTCCGTAATCTTACTGGTTCCTACATACATTTCAGAAGTCCTGTGCTCCTATCCACACACCCTATCCATTATGCCTGGGTTGGCCAGGGGGGAATGTGTTCCACAACGGGAGGGAAGGTGGCAGGCGGGCGCGTGGTGGGGAGCCCCACAGGCAGGCATTCATCTGGCCATCCAGCTCTTGAGCTCGTCATGTAACAGGGCAGCCCCTTCTGGATATCCTTAGCAGGATTACATTTACTTCCTTCCCTATTCTGTTACATCACTTTTTACTCAATGCTGGAAACTTAGTGGCCTCACTTGAATAGATTCTGAAGAGAGGTCTCAGCTAGAACCTTTTTTTAGATTCTCAGAAATCTTCTGGCCTTTGTGACATTATTCCTTATAACTCCCCACAGGAGCTCAAAAGTCACTGTGCTAAGGCACAAGTTTTGGAGAAAGACCTTTCACCCCCTGTCTCCTCTCCTCCTGATAAAAATGCATCATCCACCCTGAACCCTACAGAGAGAGAGGTTGGAGGAGCTACCCTCTGTCTTCTTCAGGGCTGGCCTTGAATAAACTTGATTCCACTGAATATTGGTGCTTGAGTGGCAAGTAGTCAAGATACTTGACGGCAGTATTAGTGGCTTTGGCCACAGCTGAGGACTTCCCAGAGACTGTGTCCCCACCAGTAACTATTCCACAAAACTGCTCAGTTCTCCCCAAGTGAGTCTGGAAGCTCCGGCAGCAATGGCCCCTGGCCTTCCATCTTCCACAGGAAGCTCACTATCAGATGTTTATTCCAGTTAAGCCTGGGCCCAGGGTAGTGTAGAGAAGCAGCGGATTATCTTAGAGGCTGGCACTCCTTTTGTACGGGGACCTCAGAGCAGAGCTCCATTCTTACTTCCCAGGTTCACCCACAAGCCAGTGTTTGCTGGACAGCAACTATAGGCTAGGTGTATCATTTGAACTGTGTTCTGTTAGATTTCAGCTCTATTGAACTCTCTGCTAATCTTCTGGTGTCTGTAACAGTCCCTTTGATGTAGTAGGAATGGGAGAGAAACCCATTAGAAGTACTAACAAAATTTACAGTCACTCGGTTGAGCACTGTTACCTTAACCGGATAAGAAAGATTTACAGTGAGTATCTAGGAAACTGCCCACTTCACAGCACCTGCGTCTGGAAACTTTTGCCTCATACACTAGGAAACTTCTGTAGTGCCCACCAGTCTATTGTTTGTTGATCAAAAGCAGCCACTTTATAATGTAGCAGTAAGTCTCTTCCCCAGTGCCAGAGTTTGACTGGTGCCCCCAGGGTTCATGTGTTACAAACTTAGTTCCCAGTGCAGAGTGCTGTGAGGTGGGGCCTTTAGGTGAGGTCGCGTGGCTCTGCTCTCAGGAACACATTCAGCCATTATTGTTGGAATGCTTCCTCTAACAGGGGAAGTTTGACAGCCGTTTTTCTCCCTCTCCTGCACACTTTCCCATTTGATGCCTCCCATTTTGGGATGGTCAAGAAGCCCCTCACCGTGTCTAGCCCCTCAACCTTCGGCTTCCAGTGTCCCAAATGAGCCCCTCTCCAGTATTATGTTTCTCCAGCAGAATGTTGACTGAGACACCAGGATTTTCATTCTCTTCCTGGTTACTAAAGATGAAAAACCTAATACCTAGAAAAAACCTAGAGGATAAAACCGGCATGCAAACAGAAACAAGGACAAGAAATACCAAAGACATCTCTTTGTTTGCAGGTTTGGGTCCAATAGTCACAGAATCCTGTATTTCTAAAACTTGGTTATTCAAATTTCCCATGAATATTCCTAAGGGGCTATGACTTTTTTCTTAAAATTCATCTCAGTTATGCTTGTATCACTTCTAACAAAAATCAAACTAACATGGAGAAGCTGAGTTTCAAAGTGTTCAGGAAACTTGTTCAAAGTGACCACAGGTAAGAAAGTCAGATCTAAGCCAGGGTATTCCAGCTCCACACCCTCACCACACAGAGGGCTTCCCAGCAGAGCAGACCTAGTGAAACTCTCCAGTGCTAACAAAGCAAAACAAAATGAAAAACAAAACAAAACAAAAAACCCAAAACTCAAAGTCTTGACCAATAAGATATTTGGAAATACAAAAGAAAACACATTTTTTTTCTTGTGGTGATCAATCTGATACTAGGTTTATCTGAGCCAGTTTAAATGTTAAGGCAGATGAAGGTCAAAATAAAAACAACAAGAAAAAGCCTTGTAAAAAAGTCTTCAGTCTTGTTGCCACTTCCCTCAATTTAGTAAGGTGTTTCTGGGGGTTTTTGGCGGGGGAGGGGGGAGCTTTCTCCTTGTTTACCAAACTTATTCTGTTTATCACAAAAACTTTGAAAGGTATAAAGTTGGGAAGGATCAAGTGTAATTCCAACTACATAGGCAGTGGAAGCGACAGATTATTTGGAGAGCATCTTGTGTGTTCCCTGGAGTCCTTGACACAGGAGCTTGGCATCTGAGGCACTCCTGACAAACCTAAGTCTTCCCTGAGACATTAGTCCCTCTCTGGTGGCATGAGGGGAACTTCCTTCACAGGCGAGGCACAGAACACGGCTATCTCCAGACGGGTCCTGCGGGAGCGCTGAGCCCTAAGTCCGAGCTGGACAGGGGATCAGAGTGGGTATGACTGCAGCCCAAAGTCCGAGGGAGGAATACAACCCTGACAGATTATTTTACAATTCATACTTTAAAAATATTCCAACATCTGGGACAGCCTGTCTGCACTATACAGTACAATATGGACCAGATTATTCTATGTTTAATCACTTAACAGTTCACTAATTTAAATACAGGGTGATAAAATTTGCATATTTTTCATTAATTTTTGTAAGATAATATAACGGGAACTAGACAAATCACAGTTTTATTAAATTTATTCGATAATTTTTCTGTATGTATCTTAAAACAGTACACAATGCAACATGACAATCTGGACTGTGGTGTCTAGTCACTTTCTGAATTCTTTTTTCATTATTGTCTTTCTTTGAATAACACACTCTACACTTCTGTGTTGGCCTTTCCTTTTTTCCTGTGGGTGATATAATTGTAATAAAATGTCTAACCACTAAATGTAATGGTGAAAACATCCATGACTTACATCCTGGCTGGCATTTTGCTATCCTATGTTTGTCAATTATTTGATCTTTTAAATCTAATCTAAATTGTAAATGCCTTTTTGATTCTCTTGTTTTGAATAAATAACAAATGATTTCCATAATGTTTGATACAGAAGTTGCAAAAATATTTTAAAATAACATTTTTTCTCACTTTTTCATTACAGGATAGTTTATGAGATATTGGTCAACTGTATCAACAATACCCATAGAATTATTCTAATCATTGTTCACCACTGAAATTTGTTACTTTAGTTTCTTTTAAGTTCTATCATTTCTGCATTATGAATGGTTGATAATAAGGAAGTATTTTAATTTTTCCATTTCATAACACAGACTTTTTCTTTCTGACATGTTAATATTTCTCCACTTTTGTTTTATTTTTTTCTTTAACAGATCTTTTGGCACTTCCTATTAAGTGTTCCAAAGGGGTGTGTGTGTGTGTGTATATATATATATATATATATATATATATATATATATATTTGTTTGTTTGTTTATTTGTTTTGTTGGTACCAGGGATCAAATTCATGACCCCATGCTTGCCAGGCAGGTACTTATGCCACTGAGCTAAATCCCTGACCCCTTTTTGTGCTTTTTCTTTTGAGAAATATAAATATTATATATGGGAATTTAGCTCAGCAGCACAGTGCCTGCCTAGCAAGCATGAGCTCATGAGTTTGATTCCTGATACCAAAAAATTATTATGAGTTTTTATATA